AAGATTGAGAGCACAAGTTTTGAATCTTGATATATTTGAACCTGGCTGTATTATCTTGAGAAAATTATTAAAATTCTCTGATCTTCAGATTCCTCACTTCTAAAATGTGGATAATTATTAATGCAATTATGAAAATAAAGCACTTAGCACAATGCCCAGCACATATATATGGTAGTTGTTATTATTATTTTGATGAATGTAAAAATTGTGAGGAAATGCCCTGGGGAGTCTACCAGAGATTGATTAAGGGACAAAGAGAAAGAATTGCTGAGCATCCTTAGGAATCCAGTCAAGAAGAGGTGACCCACATTTATAACATCTCTAAGTGAGTGTGGTTTCCTACCATATGCCAGACCACAGAAGGGAAGGTTAGAAGAAAGGCAGTAGTTCTCGAGGAGAAGCAAATGCAAGAAAATGCTGAAACCTTGGGGTGTGGGCTTAAATGGAAAAATACATTCATTGTGCCCCTTAGGTAGTTATGGTGAGGGAGCACAAGGGGAAGGATGTCACCAGCTTGCACAGAGAGTACTGTTAACAGGCTGTTTATTAGAGGTGGCCTTCCTCTCCTGGGAGGAAAGCTGGGCACCTTTTCCATCCTAACCTACCTTTCTGTGTTTTAGGTAACAATTCCTGTTTCCCTTGATGAACCCATACGTATGGCTGGACTTTACATATGAACATTTAGTGATAAAGTAGCTGCCCCAAACCACTGACTAGGAGAAGCCAATAGAGATTATGAGAAAAATAAAAGCATTTGGGAAGAACAGAAACTTCATCAGGGTTAGAAATATTGATGGGATAGGAGGATTTTAACTGGCTAGAGAGAAAATCTTCAGAGCTGAGCAAGAGAAATTTACTAAATAAGTATTGGTGGAACCCAAAGAGAATTTGAAATATAAAATATTTATGACAGTGAAGCTGGCATTTTGACCTAAAACCTAATAATTCTCCATAGAGTCTATTAAAAACAAAGACAAAGTACACTTGGGGTAAGGGGAGCTCCCCAATCTCCTTTCATACTCTGCCATCATCTACTAAGCCTTACTTGTCCTGGCCCCACCCATACAATAGTTATTCTGCTGCATTTTTAACTTTATATCATATTTACTGAGATTTAGGTTGACTTGAATCTGCTTCTTCAAAACAAACAAACAACCACACACATACATTCTCAAAACAGAGATAAGATCCTGGTCAACTGTTGTTTTATTACCACTCTCCTCTCTTAGCATATAATCAAAAATGAACTATAACAAAGAAAATATGAGTACAAGCTCCATCACCATCAGTCCCCTAACTGCTCATACCTCTTTCTTTTTCAGTTTTCATATAGACGAGCCTAGTTACCCCAAAACTTGCAGATTTATACTTCTCTGAGAGTTCAAGACAGAAAAGTTTGATTCAGGAAATACTCGAGTAGCCTGAGCGGCCAGGAACTGACTGTTGGGCTCCTATTGTGAAGGCACTCTGGCTACTTTGTCAGCCATCATATTGATCTCCAGCGCTGTTTCAGCCCATCAGGCTGATGTGATGGGTCTCTACTCCCTACGACTGGATTATCACAAGGATGCAGCTTCCCAGCCTCTATTTGGAAACTGGATTTTGGAACTGATATCCAATTTTCTCCACACAGAATATATTTTTCCATTTCTATAACTTGGCTTCTGCTTTTGAGCCCTTTCTGAGTGTCTGCTCGGATCTCTTCCTAGAAAAGAGGCTTTGTGTTCATCTTAAAGTCTCTTCTCTGCATTTGGAACAGTGGCAAATGGCCCTTGCCAGGACTCTTCTCCAGGCACGAAATCCTGACTTTAACCGTCAGGATGATAGTTGGGGCCTACTTATTCACATTCAGATGGGCCCAATCACCTGTTAGACTTTTAAGTATCAACTGCTGGAATGCCCCATGACTGTGCTCTATATTAAAAAGGACATCAAAACCTTGTTGATATTGAACACTTGTTTGTTTTTAGAAGCTAATTCAGGTCAACCCAAATCATATTGATGGGAATGGTACTCGAACCATATCTAGATATGATCATTTCCTTAGATATTCTGCCTTGCTGGACTGCCTAAACTTTTGTTATTGTTGAAGGCCTGCCCACCAACCCCTACTCTCCTCCAACCCCCACTCTCCTCTATAGGTGGGTGTAGAGACAGGCCCAGTGTTTCCCTGAATAATTCTGTCTTGCTGGGACTAAATCACCACTCTTCACTGACAAATCCCCAAATATGATAATAATTAATAATAGGGACAGTATTTTATTCCACTTCAGCCTCAAAGTGGGTAAAGGCAGTGTTACCCAGTGGTTAAGTCTAAAGACACTGGAGGTCAAATCCTACCTTCTCTACTTTTTGGCTAAATGACCTCCAGTTTTCTGTGTCTCAGTGCTTTTACCTGTAAACCCAAGATGTTACTAGTATTCATCTCATAGGGTATTGTAAGGATTAAAAAATAAATGTAGACTACTTAGAGTAATGCCAGACATGTAGTGATTGCTTCATAAATGATTAATTATTACTATTATTGATGGGAGATAGGAGAAGGGAGGAAGGGGAGAGGTTGAAGAAACTGAAGCAAGAAAGATGTAGAGAAAAAGAATTAAAATTGCATGAGAAAACATGGATAGGGAAATGGACATGGAGCAAAAGTGATGTACGTTCCTGTCTTCCACCCCACAGGGTGGGTGGCTAGTAGGATACTTGGAAGGACAGTCAGAGTCATAGGGTTCACAAGTCATGATGAGAAAGTTGAGATCAGACCATAAGGCTATGAGTCTTGGTTCCTAGAGAAAAAATTTCCAACATGGAAGCATGAGTTCACATACTCAGACTTCTCTTATTTTAGTGATTTCAAGGGAAATGGGGATTTCTAATTTTTCTCCACTGCTTCTCAGCTGTTTCAACTTCTCTGAGTTTCAGGGAAGTGCATGAAATCACTGTTGATTCATAGCCTAGTGCTAAACATAAGGGACCACCTTTGCCAGAAATATCAGCAGCAGGAAAAATTTAGGATGTATTTTTGCGCTCAGGAGATGTTTGTGGAATAACCTTTAAGTGGTAAACAGATCTATTCAGCAAAGGCAAATGGTATGTGAAAGTACTTCTGGTTTTACTTCTATAAAAATGAACCCTCACCTGATTTTAGAGTACCTAACAAAGTGAATATTCCACCCCTGGTTTCCCCTTCCAGAACCCCAACAGCTCACTCCTGAGCTCAAATGCCCATCACCTTTTCTCCTGCTCACGTTCTTTGGATCATCCCAAATAGAGAAGACTTGCCCAGGATCTCTGTGCCATAAAACCCTGGCTCTTCTTGATACCACATGAAAAGTGAATGTGAAAAATAACAGCTTTAGCTAGTATTTATTAAGCACTAACTATATGCAAGTGTTATACATGAACTATCATTTGATTCTCAAAACAATCCTATTGTACTATGTATCAACTGCTGGAATAAAAAAAGTTTCCCGATTTTGAAATCAAAACAACATGTCAAGCTCATACAACTTTCCCAAAGTCATAAAGCTAGTGGACGAATGATTTGCTGATAGTTGACTTGACAACTTTGATTTCAGGTTTAGTAGAGAGACAAGTGTGCCATACAGCTGTCTTTTTACTTTAACATGTGTTGGCCCTTTGAAGAGCATCAAGGATTTGAAAACTTAATGAGGAAGTCAGAGAGTAGAGAAGAAAGAGCTGTAGCCTTGAGATTAGAAGAACCAATGTCCGTTTTCAGCTCTACTACTTTTAGGTTGTAGAATTTCAGGTGAATTGTTTAACCTGAATCTTAGTTTGTACTTTTTTGCATAATGGGATTAATAATATTTATCTTGTTTATTTCCATGGTTTCAGTATGGGTCACATGAGAATATAAAAATTGTAGAATGTTTTGCAAACTAAGTGATAGCAAATGCCACCCTTCTCTGGAAGATCGGGGACATCCTTAGATTTCCACTTTGTTTCTGTCCAACTCTTTTCTCCATCTACTTGCATTTTCTATCTGCCATGTCAGGGTGACTAGCACAGGCTCTAAAAGCTTGGCCTGCCTAGTGGTTGCAATCTTCATAAAGCTCAAATTGAAAAAGCCACAACTTTAATAGTCAAGGAAACCAGAGAGACCAAAGTGCATTTATTCTACCTTTTCAGAAAATCCTAACCCACTAGATTCTCTGTATTCTAACTCATGCCAAGAATTTGCTTGTGCATGTTTAGAGCTGGTAAGAGATAATATAAGTAGATTTAGAAATGTGAAACATAGTCAATTTTTAAATAAACAAGGCAATTTTTGGATTTAATGAAATAATATATGCAACTACAAAACACTCCCGGAGTTATGTTAGTGTTACCTAGTTTTCTTTGTACTAACAACAAACAATATTTATCTGTTCTTTATAATTTACTGTTAAGTCATAAGAAAAACAAAGTTTCAGTTCAAGATCTTCATTTTTTTGAGACCTAACATATTTGTAAAATAGGAACAATAACCCCTTCCTCATTTATTTTAGAGAGCTTTTGGAAGATAGAAGAAAAATAATAGCTCTGAATGGTCTTTAAAAATAAAAGAGAGATGAAGTTTTTACAATGATAATTATAGTCAGTCTGATAGAGAAATGAAATGAAATTGGAAGGTCATATCTCTGTCAAAAACTATGCAACACATTCTAATACTAAAAAAATTGTTTTTAAGTTATTCGAGGTTTTGTATTATTTATTTATTCTTTTTTTGTGCTTTCTGGGTAGGTCTACCAAGTGATGACTCCTGAGCAGAAGGATTTGTCTCAGTTGTTCAGAGAACTGAACACAGACAAAATTCAAAAATATAAACTCTAAAGCTAAAAACCAGGTTTGGATCTTAAGTCTCTCCTCAGACAATTGGATTCCTTTTGATACTGAAGATATTTCTGTTAAAACAGATCAAAAGGCATTTCAAGGTCTCCCTTAAGGACAATTTCCAAACTTAATAGAAAACTAGGAGGGGATTGACAAGAGTCAGAACTCACAAGTTTGCAGGCAAAGGAGCAAGATCCAAGCCATCTTCTTCCGGAGTCTAGCACCCTTCTAGCAGAGTCAGTTTTACTTGAAAATTCTAGTTCCTTTTTATAGCTGCATGACAAAAGGAAGTGAGTGCGAGCTAACAAGTGGGGAAAACATTGCTCTATGTGTTACCAGTGAGTTGGGTATCTATTTACCTCCCAACATGTTGTCCAGACTCTTGATGTCTCAGACAAAGAATTGAACAAGACACCAAAGTACAGCAGCAAAAAGAACAGCTTTACTGGAAAAAAGAGTAAAGCAACAGTACACTTCCATGGAAGTGGGCCCGAGCAAGAGAAAGTGTTATGGTGCAAATGATTCTAAGACCTATGGAGCCAATTGAGATTAATTATGAACCTTTATTAGCCGGCCGGTGACTGACTCTCTACCTCGCAGAGTTAGAGGAGATCAGCCCCGAGCTTCCCGAGGAGGCAGCTTATACTACTACATCCTTGAATAAGCAGATTACAAGAAGCAGAAGTTAGCCGGTAACGTTTTGTACAAAGATAAATGTTGCGCTTCCGGGGAACTCTCAGATCAAACAGGGCCTAGTAGACAGTTTTATCATCTGCACCTTGGAATGTTGCGCTTCTCCTGGGGCTGGCGCCTGGAGATAACACCTCCCTGAAACTGGAGAATTTCCACTTTTATGAAAGGTAGCTCAAGGGCCCAGAAACAAAGCCTTTGGGGTTTTTATCCCTACTTACTGTGCATGGTTACCTTTCTTAGAGGCATGGGCTTCCTTAATAGATAACTAAAATGGATGGGACTCAGTAAATCATCATTTACTTTCTGCACGTGTCTGTTCCCAGAATTCAGTCTGTTATAATAATATTAATGAACTTCTGGGTATGTGCATTATAGTATAATGAAGGTGAGTTTGAGGTTATTATGGTCTTCATTGTGCAGATGCGAGTGACCGGCTTAAACTGGTACATAATTCTCTGCTTACTTGTTTCTTTGTAGAAGTTACTTTTAGCCTAAAAATGCCTTCTGGCTTGCTTAATTGTGGGCGGATTAAGGAGGACCTCTTCTCAGATAGAATGACTTCAGTGTCTTTGCAGGTAGACCAGAAACCCCCTAACTAGCTTTCCTGCCTAACTCTTTTCTAAGAGCCATGAACTCCCTTATTATTAGTATGGATGTTGAAGGACAGGAGGTCTCTTCCGTATC